TCTTTAAGGAATCTGACGTGGAGAAAAGCTTTTTCGGTGAACAACGGAAATATGAGTTCACTAGACTACCATTCGGACTAAAGAATGCCCCATCCATATTCCAAAGGACATTAGATGATATACTCAGACAACACATTGGAAAAATATGTTATGTCTATATAGACGACATAATAATATTTAGCAAAGACGCAAAATCACACTCAGAACATATAGACACAATCTTCGATACACTCCGTAAGCCAATATGAAAGTTCAAGCAGACAAATGCGATTCTATAAAGATAAAGTAGAATTTTTAGGATTTATAATTTCATCGCTGGAATCCACAAACCCATCTAAAGTAAAGCCATAGAAAATGTCCCATATCCCAAAACACTTAAAGACCTTAGATCATTTTTAGGACTCTCAGGATACTATAGACGCTTCATAAGAGACTACGCAAATTAGCAAAACCACTTACGAACTTACTTCGTGGTGAAGAAGGCAGAATTTCGAAAATATTTCAAAAATTAGTATTCAATTAACAGAAGAATCAAAGAAGCATTTGACAAAATAAAATCCGCTCTCATTTCAAAAGACGTCATACTCCAATATCCCAATTATAATGTAGAATTTAATCTTACAACAGACGCTTCAAAATATGCAATAGGCGCAGTACTAGAACAAAACGGTAAACCCATTACTTTTATTTCTAGAACCTTAAACAAAACAGAAGAAAACTATGCAGTTAACGAAAAAGAAATGCTTGCCATAATCTGGGCACTCAATTCTCTTAGAAATTATCTGTATGGTCAAGCTAAAATTATAATACATACTGATCATCAACCACTAACTATTCACTTAGTAACAAAAACAACAATTCAAAACTAAAGCGATGGAAATCAATTCTAGAAGAATATAATTATGAATTAAAATATAAACCTGGAAAATCCAACATAGTAGCGGATGCACTCTCTAGACCATTTCAAATAAACTCATTATCAGTAGCTACAAACTCAGATGACAGCTCATCTCATAATCTAATTCCCTCAGTAGAAGCCCCAATTAATGTTTTCAAAAACCAAATCTTCCTATTAATAGGACAAGAAAATAGCTATCAATTTAAATTACCCTTCCCAACTTACCATAGACATATAATAACCAAACCAAATTACTCAACTGAAGACTTGTTAGCAATTTTAAAAAGAAGACTTAACCCTTCAGTAATAAATGGAATATTTACTTCAGAAGAAATAATCGGCAGAATTCAAGAAATTTACCCAATACATTTTAGTAATTACAAAGTTAGACACACACAAACAAAAGTTAAAAACCTAGAATCGAATGAAGAACAGGAAAACCAAATATTAATAGAACATAAAAGAGCTCATCGAAATGCAATAGAAAATAAAAACAAATTTTAGAAAATTTTATTTTCCAAAATGTTACAAAAAATCAAAGTAATAGTTAAACAATGCAGCATTTGCGCAGTAAACAAATACGATAGACACCCTAATAATCCAGAAATTCAAGCAACCCCAATTCCAGAATATCCAGGACAAATAGTGCATATAGAATATACAATAGCCGACAAAATTTAATATTAACAGCAGTTGACAAATTTTCCAAATACGCACAAGCAAAACTAATAAAATCAAGATCTTCAGAAGATATACGAGAACCACTTAGACAAATCATTTTCAATTTTGGAGTACCGCAGAATATTATAATAGACAACGAAAAATCTTTAAATGCCAACTCAATAATTTTTATGTTAAAAGACCAACTTAGGATTAATATACATAGAATACCTCCACACACCAGCACAGCTAATGGACAAGTTGAACGTTTCCACTCCACTTTATCAGAAATAATAAGATGTTTAAAATCAGAGAATATAGAAAGATCCTTTCCAGAACTTCTAGATAGAGCAGTTTACGAATACAATTATTCCATACATTCAACTACAGGACAAAAACCTGTCGAATCATTTTTTGGACGAAGAATATATACCAACCCTGAGCAATATGAAAAAGCAAGACAAAATAATATACAGAGACTGAGACAGAAACAGGAACAAGATTTAACTCTTCACAATAAACACAGAAAACCATTTAATAACTATAACATTGGACAAACAATTTATATCAAAATTAATAAAAGATACGGCAATAAACTGACTTCAAAATATAAAAAAGAAATAGTAAAAGAAAATCATAACTCCACAGTTACAACACAATCCGGCAAAATAGTCCACAAAAGCCTTATAAAAGGATAAAGAATAATAATAATAATAAAAAAAAAAAAAAAAAAAAAAAAAAAAAAAAAAAAAAATACTATTTTGAAAAATAAACCCTTATCCTCTCCTTTCTAGATTTTTTGCTGCGGTAACTACAGCAAATGTGCAAATTCTAGATTACAGTTCTTCCCAATTGATAACAATAGACAACGGACCAGCAAAATTGCAAACAGGGAATTTTAAAATTATTCATATCATAGAGACAGAACAGTACGAAAATATAATTAGTACTCTTGAAACAATAGTATTAAAAAAATTAATGGCACACCCTCTTCATCCCATTCTATCATCCCTACTAAACCAATCCAAAACCTACTTAATTCAATTAAAATTAATAAAATACAAAAGAGATCACTAGATTTTATAGGTACCGCGTGGAAATGGATAGCAGGAAATCCTGACCATAGCGACTATGAGATCTTAACTAACAAAATGAATAATGTTTTAGAAAATAATAACCAACAGTTATTATAAATAAATTAATGAATAACAAATAAATGAATTAATTAATATCACAAATAAATTAACAAAAGCAATTGAAGAAAACAAAAGATGGAATATGACTTAGTTCTAACCATCAAATTCAAATTAGAAATTATAAAAGAAGAATTAATCAATGGCTTACGCAATTCATTGGGCAAAAGCCAATATAGTAAATTCATTTATATTGTCAGATAAAGAAATGAACATAACAAAAAAAATTATAGAAAATGAAATATACCATTTTTAATATAGACGAAGCGTTAGAATTCGCTGAATTTAAATTAGCAGCAAACGAAAATTGTTTAATTTATATAATAAGTTTACCGACAACGGAACTGAAGAATGTAGGTCTACAGAAATACGACCAATAAGAAAAACGAAGTAATAAATAAAATAATGTTTAAACTATATTATTATGTCCAAACAAAGTTTATGGCATATATACGAATTGTAAATCATATAACAGCATATCAATTTGCCCTAAAAACGCAGTAAAGAATATCAGATGATGCATGTATCACACATTTATTAAATAGTAAAACGGAAAATTGTACGAAAATCAATAATGAACATATAAATCGGTCGAAGAAATTTCAAGCGACTTAATATTTTTAAATCAATTTAATGATGTAATAAAAATTAATAATGAAAGTTTAATGGTAAATGGCACATATTTAATAAAATATCATAATGCTAGCTTAGAAATAGATGGAATATTGTACAACTCTAATATGATAACAGGAAAAAGCCATTACCGGCAATATTACAGCCATTATCTAAATATAATAATTTAGAAAAATATTGTCATTAGAATCAATAAAAAATTTCAAACTAACGAGACTATACATTTGAATCTATTAAAAACAAAATAATGTATTTTTCTCAATAAATATATTGTCATGTTTGTAATATTAATTTTAATAATATTAATGTTCAAAAATGAGAATTAAAATAATTCTAATGTAACTGAAACCAATACAAATGAAATTGGTATTCAAATTTTGTCAAGATTTTTGTAAGAGCGTCGAACGAGGACGTTCGAATTTAAGGGCGGAGGAGTTAGCAACAATAAGCTATCCTCCCTAAAAATATCAAACTCCTAACTAACTAAACGTAAAGTGCAATACGACTCTTCACCTGAAGGCCATATTGCACGCGCAATAAAAAAGTGCTGACCGAACACTTGTTTCCCGTGGGAACGGAATGTCAACCGTTTCCCGTAAACAACATCGGCAGCGCTTCTTTAGAAGTTAAGCTTAATGTTAAGTAAAAATAGAATTAAGATTCAGTGTAATTATTATACTCATAAATAAAGGACTTATGCTCCATTGAAAAAATATTTTTTTACGGGTTTTATTAAAAGAAAACCTAACTTGTACATCGAAAACAACCCCTATCACGTAACGTAAACAATTAGTAACATACATATTCACATACACATATATTTAGTTAGTTAAGATAGTTTTAAAAATTGTATATAAAGCCGTCATAAATTAAATAAAAACGAGAATGAAATATTTCCCATCTCAATGAATGTCTTTTCTGTGCCCCACCAGCGGTAAGACATTTAAGAATCTTCATTGAGTTTATTCAATAGTTTTATTTGAAATTTCTTTAACTTACGTATGTATGTATTGTATGTATATTATATTTAAAAACTTTTCATAAAAATTTGTTTATATTTTTAATACAAAACCCAAAAGAGTTTTGCGCAGAAGCGTGCAACACTTTGTGGCAAGAAGAACATAAAAATTCTTTTGCGCAGTTGTTGAGAAACTTATTTGGAATTTTATGCGTCCCTTTTTGATAGGGTTGTTTCTTCGCAAAGAGATAGTTTTGAAGTTTTGAAAAATGATGAATAGTGTTGATAAACGTGTTTTTTTTTGACGACCATCATCATTGACAATCATTTTACTATTCATTTGACTGTAGTGGTGACAGTATATAAAGCATTCTGCTATTTCATTCTTACACATGTAAGCAATATAATTCGAAGATGTCTCTGTTTAATAATAACAGTGACGGTCAGTTACCAAGTAAACTGCCCGTCATGACTGACATAAAAATGTGAGTGTATTGGTGAATCCATCAGCAGTTTCTTGTAGGGATATAGATATCACACACCCAAAAATGTATTGAGTTATATTCTTAAAAACAACCCCATGTGGTGCCCCATACATACAAACATACACACATACATATACATTTAATTATATAAGTTAGTTTGTAAATAGTATATCAGCAAATTTAAATAAAATTAGAATGAAAATATTCTCAGTTCAATAAAGAAGATAAAAAATTTGGAGGGTTAGTTTAGGAGAATAAGGTCATGTCTGATGACAGCGAGGCAATACTCATTGAAAGCGATGAATTAAAGGAAGACTAGATATGTGAAGAAGACACTGCCGATGAAAAGAAAAATTAATTTAATTATGATGCTAATAGTGTGAACACCAAATTGTTGTCTCCTCTCTTTATCGAGTAGAATGAAATATTTCTCACTAGATGACGGTGTCTATCTATCTAGAGGTAACAATGTTATATAGCTCATCATCATTTGGTCTTACAAACCAAATAAAAAAACTGAATATTGTATTTTTAAATTAACGTAAATTTAAACCACCTAGCCTGAGTGGGTCCCCAATGCGTGCAACAAATGTTGGACTAGTATTGTATACTCCCATAGCCTGTCTTATCGTTAATACTTATGTTTGTAAATGAGTGTATTATGTTTTTGAGGAGGTGTGTTGAAAACAAGCTAAGTAATTTGAATTTGCCGGTTCGATAAAACATCGATAAATATGTAAATCTTTAGCTATCCAAAATAAAGACGTTGAAATAGCTTGTTGCAAAAACGCTATAAACAGGTATCGATACATATATATCGGATATATACGATTTTTTCTCAACTGACGCTTCGGAAAGACAACAAGGCTACGCATATCGAAAAAATAAAGAGAATATAAAACAAATTGAAAATTAAATTAGCTCCTGTGTTATTATTAAAATATTGTGGTTAATCGTATTATTAACGTAATTTAAATATAAATTGCGTTATCTATAACTGCGTGCTGTTGTTGTTTGCTGCCCACCGGAGCAATAGTATAAAGAAGATATACTTGTAACTTTTGATGAATACATATATTGATAATTGATATATTGGATGTCTAATATACTTGATACTATTGATATTTTACATGTGATGTGATTGACGACAACTCGATATAGTAATATTCAATCAGCTGTTTCGTTGTGAAATAGAAAGACTTCGAAATAAATCAAAAAATTCGGTTTGCAGAGCACCTTAATTGAAATCATTTGGTAAAAACGAAATCATATTACTTCCATTTGGTTTCTGGAACATGCCTCAAAAACTATTGATAGCAAATAAGTGACCAACTCTATTCCACAATCTTTAAATATATGCTTCGATATCGAATCCAGCAAGTCACGGCAATAATTAGCTTGGAAATCATTGTACAAACCTACAAGTAACCAATCCTAAATATATACATACATATCTCTTGTATCAAAACTTTATTAATATCAAATCAAAATAAACAAATCGAGGTAAACTTGGTAATAGATGAAGGCAGCTTCTACATGTTTTCGTATATATTTGCGGTTACTTGTATTATAAATTAATATAATATAAATATATATATATAATAAAGAAAATCAATAGACTTGCAGTGTGGCGAACACGAATGCCAAGACAAAATAGAATCGATGATAAATAGCTAAAATCAACCAGCCAGCAAAATAGCGTAGTTGCCAGGATGTTCGAGTGGCGACGTTTTCGTAACTATATAAGGGCTGCCGGATCGTGCAGCAGAGACAGTTCTAATTAAAGTGCAGCTTAGTAAAAGTAAACTCGAATAACAAGTAATAAGATTTCAGTGGTTTAAATTAGAAATAAAGGTAAGAGTATAAGAGCTATTAAGTTGGGACTTTTATTTAACTATCTAGTGATCGAACTAAAATAGGAAGAGACAACGAAGACAGAATGCTCATCAAACTCTATGGACATAAACATGATTTTGGCTGCAATGTCGCAGATGACAACGCTAATGTCAACGCAAATATCGACACAGTTTAAAGAGCAGGATATAGTATGTCGCAGATGGCCTTACAAATAGCAGAGTATTATCACAAAGGGTAGGATGCACGGATATCACAGGTAACCTCACAAATAGCCGAAGTCCATGTAAGGACAATGTTTCAAATGAGCAGGATAAAATTAAAATTGGAGTGGATGAATTGAAAAATCGTCTCTGCGAGATACAATTATATCAGCAAATTATGTCAACAGCCTCTGGCAAGGTATTTTTAAGCTTTAATTCGAAAAGATGGTATCTGCAAATAATTGGAACGTCGGACAAAGTAGTTGCATTTGGAGATGAAAAACTACCGTTCGATGTTTTGATAGTTTTTCTCTTGAAATCTACTTACTTTTCGCTGGTTTAATAAAAAAAAAGACCGTAGCTTTGTACACTTCATTTTTATGAAATAATTTTTTAATTTATTTATAAAACAAAACATGAACAGTAAACAAAAAAAAAACAAAAAAGTTAGTTACGTATAAAAATAGTATATAAATTTCCATGTTACTATATTAACTGCTCTGAGAGCTGACAAGTTATAAAAAGGTACATTTTTTATACATTTACTAATGTTTCGGTAGAGTACTTTGTTCCTCAATAATATACATGTTTTTTTTATAATAGTAATTAGTTGACGTTTTCAGCCTTTAGTTTCTTCTATCTGATATCCTATCTGGATCGCTACAGCCTGGTTAAACACTCTCTCGGACTCTGTATATCGTCTACCAATAGGGATGATGTGGTTTTTACACTCGTGGCGGACATTTTTGTTTACGGATTTGTGTCAAATTTCGCCAGTGTATTCAGAAAGGTTTGCATTTTATCATGTCAAAAAATTCACAATTTTACGTTCATCGAAAAATCATCTATTTTCTCAGATCAAGCCCATTTCTGGTTTAATGGTCGTCAACAAACAAAATTGTCACTATTGGGGTGATTCCATTCCATTCAATGCTCGAGGAGTTCGAAAACAACCTTCAAAGCACTATAGCGGAAATGCTGCACCGATTTGGCCGACATTTTGTTTACTTCATAAATGGATGAAATTATCAGTATGACAAAAAAAACAGAACCCATTTTGACCGAATTGAGTGCTTTATTTCATTTTAAAATCACGTCGTTCTTATTGATAGAGCTGATATATTTCACTTGTGATTTACATGGCAATGAATATATTTTTCCTCAAGATAATGCCCCAACCTACGTGGCAAAGACGACAAAGGAGTTCTATAACTCCCGACAGACTGAGTTACTTCAGTGGCCTGCGTTAAGCCCAGATCTCAATCCCATCGAGGATCTATGGGGAACTCTTTCCCCCAAAATATTTGCATAATCGAAGCAATACGACAGCCTTTGGCAGCTTAAAAAGACCTTAGAAGATAAATGGGACAAAACTGATTTGTCTGTCCTTAAAAAAACTGGTGGAATCAATGCCCCAACGTATGCAGTTTGTAAAGATAACTGAGCCCTATCTCGCATTTACTTTTATAAAACTTTTATTTCACAAAACAAATAATATGTATATTAAATAGACTTTTTGAACATATAAACATTTTACAAGGGCTATTAAAGTACAAATGTTTTCAATATAATACTGTGTTAAGAAATAATAATGATATAAAAACACTAACCAAAACTAAAACGTTGTAAAGTTTTTTATGTCTTTAAACCAGATGTGCAAATAATATATTTTTTTAAATACCGTAATTGGGATTGAAAACTAAAATAGAAAAAAATTAAACTTACAGTAAGCGATAAAAAGATCTACATAAACGCGTAAGAAAAATTATGGTGTGGCTAAATGTTTCAACTGCGGGAAAATTGGACATATTGCACGCAACTGTAACCAGTCTTATAATCCAGTAAAAAAAGAGCTGGAGAAGATCAAGCAAAGCGAGCCAGCCGAAAGGGCACCGGCTGGCTCCCACAAGCAAACGCGCTGTAATCTCGATTTAACAACTAATGTGTATATGGCAAACAGCGTATACTGACTGTAGATACGGGCGCGTCACATTTCATAATTCGATCTGATATGGTTAATAAAGAAGTGATACCGTTAGCTGGTGCAAAGTTGCCTACTGCGACTGGAGAAGATACTCAAGTTCTCGGAAAAGTAATGTGCGAAATCGTAATAGGAAATGCAGCCGTGGTACACAACTTTATGGCGGCAGATATCTTCGACAAAGCCGTAATTGGAATAGACTTTATAGCAAATCAAGGAATCGAAATTGACATGGAGAACAGGATTATGATTTATACAAATATGGAAGTGCCGGTTACCTTGGTTATTTTAACAAGTACAACGTTGAACGAATGCTAATAACAGAGACCCAGCAGATTTCCTCAAAATCAGAAGTATTTATTTGACTAGTTATAGGTTGTTGAGTTTACAGAACAATCTACAGCAATCCCTGGCTATGACAAGACAAGCTAAGCATGTCAAAGAGTACTTAATGAGTTCAAGTCACCAATCAAACTTTCCAAAGGAGCTATAATAAGGCAGTGTTCAAAGATTGAAAATGACATCTTGAGAAAAATGAATGCCTGTACCGAGGAACTAGAGGCAGGACATCAAAATAAGGCTAAACAATGCATTGTCAGATACCCACCATATTTGACCAGGACAATTCCAAACCAGGATGAACCAAAGTTGTGCCATACAGGTGGGGCAAGACTTATCCGCCACGCTCCTCGAAGTGTTTTTTTTTTAGCAAAACGTGAAGTTGTAAGCCAAACCATGCGTGAAAAAGCGGCGTAATCGAACCATCACCTTTCACCGGTTGGACTGGTGAAAAAGAAAGATGACAACATGAGATTCTCTGTGGACTATAGAAGGTTTAATGATGTAGCGAAGAAAGACAGTTATCCACTATCTTGAATCGATGACACGCTGGACTCGTTATCAGGTACAAAATGATTCTCAACACTACTAAACAAAGAAGAAAAAGAAAATACGGCTTTCAGCGTTGGAGATGATCTATGGCAATTTACCGTAATGCCCTTTGGATTATGTAACACTCATGCTACCTTTGAGAGACTTATGGACCAGTTATTAAAAGGACTAATTTAGAAGACCTGTTTGGTATACCTCGACGATGTCATCGTGTTGGGTAAAAGCGTCGATGAAAATCTTAAAGACCTGGAAGAGGCTTCCCAACGGATAGCTAGGAGCGCTGGTCTAAAGCTGAGCCCAAAGAAGTGTTCGCTTTTCAAAAAGGAAGTAAACTACTTAGGATACAAAGTGAGCACGGAGGGCATTGCATGGATAATGAATATATAGAGGCAGTAAATTATTGGCCCACCCCTAAAAATTTACATGTTTTGCAGAGTTTCCTTGGACTGTGCACTTATTATCGACGATTCGTTTAAAATTTTACCAGCGTAGCTAGTAGCCTCCATGAACTCACGAAAAAGAACAGAGTTTTTGAATGGAATAAAGAACAGGAAGTGGCTTTCTAAACTCTGAAAAACGGTTAAGTACTGCACCAATTTTAGCATACACAGTCCCAGGATCAGCGTTTATTTTGGATACGGATGCTTGTGAATTTGCAGTAGGAGGCGTTCTATCATAAGTCATTGATGGGAATGAGAAAGTGGTTGCGTATTACAGCCAGACAATAAGCAAGCCAAAGAGAAATTATTGTCTTACTCAGAAGAACTTACTGGCGTTAGTAAATGCATTTTCATAAGTATCATTACGGCCAACGATTTCGGGTTGGGACAGATCATGCAGCATTAAAATGGCTTCTACAATTCAAGAACCCATTCCAAAGTTACGACTTCTCCATAGGATATCGCAAAGGTAGTATTTATGGAAATGCTGATGCCATGTTCAGGCGTCCCTGTAATTTGAAATGCAGACACTGCTCGAGAGCTGAGGCAAAAGACGACATTATAGATGACTGATTAATGACTATAATGTCAGACTGGAATGCGAAGGAGCTACGGAATTGTCAGCAGGCAAATCCAGATTTGAAAAGTGTAAAAAATGGATTAGAGATCAATAAACGTCCAACGAGAGAAGAAATAGCTGCAAAAAGCCCAGTCGCACAGGTGTATGGAAAAGCGGTGATGGGCGAAGTTCCAAAGAGCTGCACAACGGTCTAAGTAGAGGCCACATGCTGCTAAAGGGCTGAGGTTCAGGAATTATGGTCAGATGAAGCAGTACAATTCAGGTGAGCGAGTTGCCATGGATGTAGCTGGTCAATTTCCCACCAGTAATTTAAGAAACAGGTATCTATTGGCATTCATGGACTATTTCAACAAATGCCCAGATGTATATGCAATTCCTAACCATGAGACCCAAACAGTAGTAGTATTCATCAACAATTCGAGATATGGTGTTCCAATAGATTTACATTCTGACCAAGTATGAAAGTTTTAATCAGTTCTAATTCAGGAGGTGTGCCAGAAACTGTATATTCGAAAAACCCGTACGAATGCACTATATCTGCAGTCCGATAGCATGGTAGAACGATTCAATTGAACTTTGAAAGAACATTTGAAGAAAGTTGTGGACAAGTATCAAAAAGATTGGGATACCCATATGTCCTTGTTGGCTTATTTGTCCGCTGTACATGAAACAATAGGGTCAGACTCTGGCAATAGTAATTTTTGGTAACGATCTTCTGCTACTGATTGATTTGAATTATTATATTATATTATAATTGGAATTAACGCCAACGGAGGAAAGGGTTCTAAGAAAATCAACAGCATCCTAGAAGACGAGATGAGGGATATACTTACTATGGTGAGACAACGCACCAAAATTTTAAGCGATAAAATTAAAGCAAAATTCGACAATGCAATGAACTTTGAGGGTTTTATTGAAGGCGATTGGGTATTATTGTATAACCCCCAACGAAAGAAAGGGTTGTCTCCCAAATTACAGTGTCATTGGGAAGAACCATACCAGGTTATTAACTGACTCAACGATGTAGTGTATCGCATACATACCATTGGAGGACCGAGGAATAAAATAAAGGTGGTTCATCTGGAACGGCTTGCAGCGTTTGGTACTGCAGATATGTCTAATCGGGACGATCATTTTTAGGTGGAGGGCAGTGTGGCGAACACGAATATCAGAACAAATCAAATTCGACGATAAATTGCCAGAAGCAACTAGACAGTGAATTCGTAGTTGCCAGAATGTGCGAGAAGTCCGTTACAATACTAAATACCAAAGAAATTGGATTATATGTGTTATATCCGGATAATATTTAAAAATGAAATTAATTTACAAATAACATATTGAGAAGTGAATTTAGAAGTTATAGGCATTAGTTATTTTCAGTTTGCGAATTCTCTGCTGCATATTTTTGAGAACTGTAATCTTGTCAAAATATTCACATGTGAGTTTGCTAAAAGTGTGACAATGGAAATAAAACTTTGTTTTGCAGCTTTTAAATCAAATGCCAAATATCAATACAATTTAAAAACGTTGACGAGAATTAAAATTAAAAAGAGGTATTTGTTGCAGCCATTAATCAATATGAGCAGAGTTTAAAAATTTGCTTAAAACTTTTAATTGACAAAGGCCGATAGTTAACAGCCAATGCGTTTGCGCTTGCTTTGAGCTATGACTGCGAAAAAATGGTCTGGTTTTAGCGGTCTAGTGACACTGCAGAGTGAGTCAATTCATTTGCCATCTTATTCCCGCATCTTGGTACCCTTATTAGGTGGGCCGGTTTACCAACTGAAATGCTGTTAAACCTTTCGATGTACTCCTGGACCAATTTAATTTTGGATTCGTTAGCCGATATTGCCTTAAGTGCTGCATGACTATTGTTTAGAATGATGATGATGATGATGATTAGCTGAATCCGATTACTACAATGAAGGTTTATCTATTAGCTCGGGGAGTATTGTGCATGTACCCACTATGCCCATCGTTAGCGTGGAGCATGTCCGCATTGCACACGTCATACAAATATATGTAAGCCTTTGCAATTTCGAGAATCGCTGCTCAAGAGGCAAATTTGGAAGATTTGGTCTATGACAAATTTCAGCGAACAATGGAGGGAAATTAAAAAAGAAGCTACGGACAAAAGAGACATCCAAGATAGATCACCTTGATTTGGTATACCGTGACCTTAAAAACAATATAAGGAATTGGTTCTAGAATAATACGGCCAAAAACCAAGTTATCAGTCCCTATGTATTGTACATTTTACCAAACATATCTTCATCATTAGCAGATATCGTCCAAGAGTGAAACTATGCCAAAGAAGCAATTGTCATTACTGATAGTCAAGCAGCACTTTAGGCAATATCTTATGAAATCTGCATTGATACTGGAGTGCATAGTAACGCTTAATGGTGTAGCTATAAGGTTAAGTTTTAAGGAAAACGATATGGGTAATCATCGGCCTAAGGAAGCGGCGATAAGGTGTCTGTCGATTCTGCGAAGAAAAAGTTTATTTACCAGGAAGATGCATCTGCTAAGAATACATTAACATTCATTACCCCAGTCACGTTGTTCGGCTTCCTTAATGCACTTGTATTGGATGAGGTACTATAGACCAGAAGCGCATAAGCAAGTATACTAACATTCGAACTACTTGTACATCTATATATAGAATAAAAATAACATGTCACGACATGTCCGAGGTAAACTCCAAAACTACTTAACCGATTTTAGTCAAATTATAATTTTAAGTAAAATTTGATATGGAAAATCAATTCTTTTTTTGATTAAAAAATATTTGTATCAATGATTATCAAAATTAAGCCTCAAGTAAAATCCCTTGGTTTCTTACGGTAAAGACAGTCAAATGGTTTTCGTACTACAATAAAAGCTCTGGAAAGTATGTCCCTTTTAACCATTCACTTGCCAATAGATAAATGTATTTATTAAATGACAACCAACAGTATTGTAATAATTTCACTAAAACTTGTTCACTATATACTAATAAATTAAGTCTATTTCACGAATTAACAAAAGTGCTTACATTGTTTTTTTTACTAAGCTGTTCTATGCTTTTCTTTTCATCTCAAAAGAATTAAGTCACAAGATGACGGTATAGTGCAATTTGTTCTTGTAACAATTGTCGTAACCTAAACCGAAAAAAAAATAACGGTAAATACTTGTAGTAATCTTGTATTTTTCAATTTTGTCTTGACATCCATTGCTAGCAATAACCTGTCATTTTGGTGGTTCGACAGAGCTGTTTTCATTTCTACAGAAAGTTTGGAGCGGCAAAATGTATATACATAATTTCGGTCGGATGATGATATTCAAAACATAAATTTTAATAAAACTTGGAAAATCCTTATTAAATACATATGTAGGTATGTATATTAATATTTTAATGTTATCAATGCTCATATTTATTTATTGAATTGGTAAATAACATTATGCAAAAATTATTTAAGGCTTAACTCATTATAGCATCTTGTAACAGATATGTTACAAACCCTTTCCGAGCACTCAATACGGTGAAAAAAGAAATTTGTTAATTTTTACTTGATGTGAGATCACTGGTACGAAGCGATTTATACAATTTCAGGTTATTTATTTTTTTAACACATGGCATTCTGCCAAAAACGTTATTTCAATTTCAAGTTCGGGTTCGAAGGTGACGATGATAGGATTGCCCATCCCGATTTTAAGTCGGAGACCAATGTTTAGACTCCAAGACCGATTTTGAGCAGGGCGATGGACACTTTGATAGTGCCTTAGAGCAATCATCCATATTTCCAATTGCTACTCAGCCAGGTGGATAACAATAAGGTAAAGAAGAATGTCGTCTGGAAGAAAAAAAAATATTAAACTCAACTTTTTTTTACAAGAACGGAAGAACTACCTGCTGATATTTAGAACTTAGAAACGCCCGTCCAGTTTTTTCTAAAAATATTTTCCCAAGAATTATTCCAGAATATCGCTGACCAAACCAATACTTACATTATACACAAGGATCCCATCAAGAACTTTCACGTGTCCGAAATCGACATCCAGCAATTCCAAGAGTGACGAACCATTGAAATTATGAAATCGGAACAACTTTCATAAAGGAAACGATGTCAGCTAAGAAATTTAAAAAGTTAAGCCAATTTATGCACTTCAATGACAATTCTAAGGTGTTTCCTCGCCAGCATTCCAACTCGGATACGGTGTTTAAAATTCGACCACTAGTGACTCAATTAAACGAAACATGTATGTAAATTTCGCTAAAGAATCAGCTTTGTGTGGATGAACAAATTTATTCAACGAAAGCAAGAAATAACTTGAAAAGGTATAATCGCAAAAAGCCGAAAAAATGGGGAAATAAAATATTTCTACTTTGCGATTCACGTACAATTTGAAGTAGAATCTGGAAGGCTTTATTTTGACAACTATTTTTCGTTGTTGTCATAGATAGAATATTTTGACTTAGGAAGAATACGATGGATAAAGATATTTTTAAAAATGCTCGTGGACACTCCGTCGAATATGTTGGAAATGTAGGAGGAACAGATGTATCTACCATTCTCTGGAAGGGCAACAATTCTATCATGTGGTTTTGATAATGAGCTACCGAAATTCAAAGTAAAGCGCTATGAAAAGGCTAGGAAAAAATATATTAACATTGAAAGATTTTTCAAAGTAGCGAGTATAATCGTCACTGGTTAGATCTTGCAATGTCTAATTCTTGGTTCTTATACAAAAGAATTCGGAAAGAGAAGAATGAGGAGGGCAATCAGTTGTCATCAGCTAAATTTCGTTTAGAAGTTACTACGATCTTGTGCAAGTACAAAGACAACTTTAACACGTAGAGCTGTTCAGAAGTAAAAGTAAGCGTCCACATGCAATGGAGTGCCACAAACGTGGTGTAGCTTTATGCTACAACAAGCATAACAATTGGTTTAAATATTGTCATACCAGCTAATGTGTTTGTTTCATTTTACACAATGTAAAATATCTGTCACACTCCCGTTTTGTTTGTTTCCTCCCCAAATAAAACAAAAATTTTAAAAATTGTACAGCACAACGACAAACTTGGATATTGCCGATCAAAATGTTAGGGAGTGTTTCTACCGATTCAATTGTTTTTAAATACTCGTCGTCCTCTTCATAATTTTGCTCGGACACGAAAAATAATATATATGTTGTTTTTAGCAAATTTGCTTAATTATCCGCCGTAATCGAAACGATTTATTTTAAATTAATATTATATTTATTAAACATTTGTATTACTTCAGTGATTTGATCGCCGCTTATATATTGTGAACTTATTCCAAACCTGTTTTGGGACATACGCGTTGCACTGCCTATTGTCAAGGACAATAATTTAGTTTTGACCTGTCAGGATATATGCGCTTTTATATTATTTGCCACTATTTCGAAAGTGGCTTTGCAGTCGATCCATTCAGCTCTTTTTTAATCACCTCAATTTTTTTTTTTTTTTTTTCATATTGTTTTAATTAGGGACGATGATGATGGGGAGTTATCAGAGTTCCCTATAGTCAACAAATTAATTTTATGCCGTTTAATTATATGTGACTTTAAATTAGATAATATAGACGATTACATATATTGCTTACGACTATGCCCACTTCTTTTTTATTTTCAAAATGCGCCAACATTTCACTTGACATTGTTTAAGTTGCTCCTTCTGTTAACACATTAAAATCTAAATCTCGAGCACATCAATTTTTGCGACCAGGCAGCAGGCAAAAATTTTACCGTAAAATCAAATGAAGCAAACAGTCGACGAAAGTTGCTACGTTTAATTCTACTGCTTACCGAAAGGAAGAGCAACAAAAATCAAAATCAGCAAACAAGAGACGCGCATCAATTTTGCGTCTGCAAGAAATTAAAACGGCGACAGTTGCTGCTATTTGATATTTGTAACTGTTTTGCTTCTGCTTCGACTGCGACATTATTAATTTTATATATTTTATTATTTATTAAACCCCAAAAACTTTAACTTTATTGTCTTTAAGTAACAAAAAACACAACATGTAATTCAAAACACTAAAAAGCATTTACAATCCAAAATAATTTCGCGCAAAAATATTGATCGGTATATCGTTTTAGAAGGATTTTAAAAGAAGTTTCCGTGTCTTTGGGATGAAAATGACATTACATATAATTTTATTAATAGACGCCCTGATGCTTTAGATTGCGTACAGCGTGATTTAAATTTGGAAACTGATTTATGTATGACACTAAGCGGTTTGGAAAGTAAAATTGCAAAAAATATGTTCCTATGAAAATAAACAAAAATTACGTTACAACTAATACAAAATTGCTAATAAGTAAATTACCATACTCCTACGATGAAATTGCTTTTATAAAAGTAAATGTGCCGCTACATGAATGCTCAATATGTGAAAAAAAACTTTCCAGTTTTAGTGTGAATCTAATTGTTTCCAAAGCTAGTATGTGGCCAGTACTATAGTGCTCCCACCAAAAAAAGTTATGGGCAAGTTCTTCATTTGCAACATCTATATTTGCATTCATTGATAAAATTTTAAAATCCAACCTGACAATTTGAATATATCGATATACTTGTAGTTTGTTTAAACAAGAACATGATTTTTCTTGAGCAAAACTGTATATGTTTTTTTTCGTTAGATTTTATTTATTATTTTTGTACATTTTCTTATATCTATATTGCATTTTTCACACCACCATGAGGCATGCAACTAGACGAGTTACTGCTTTTTTTGGGTGTTCGGTTCCCTAGGAGGCCTATTTTCACCCATATACTTTAAAACTAAATAACAAAATTATATAGAATAAATAAATAAAAACAAAACAAAAATATTTAAAAAATTAATTTTACAATAGTACTTATAAAAACACAATTTATGTGCACAGTTTTGTTTATAATTAGCGTAAAGCTACTGTGTAGAGGCTGCCGTTAACTTACACTGTTGGCCGTAACAAATTTTTATGGGGGACTGCCCCTTTAGATAACCTTAACCTATTTTTGTAGCGGTGCGAGAAAAGTCAATCGCAGGCATACAATTCAGTTAGTTCAAAACGGATACACCAAATAGGTGCATCCATGTCACCGATCATCATGAAACTTCGTACACATATGTCTTATGGTATTAGAAAGGGCATAGGATATTTTATTATTATTATTAAAATCAAATTATATATTTTTTAGTTTTTTAATATAAATTAATAATATGATTGATTATAATAATATGATTTTTCGTCAAAAAATTTCAAAATGTTATAAAACAAAAATGCACAAAAAGCGCAAAATAGACAAAGTTTAGGTTTTCTAGTTACCACCACCAACAAAAAAATTATCAGCACGATACAGTATTCGTGTAAATAGTATGTATTCAACAATTTTTTTTTGTTAATAATTTTTGATACATATTTATTTAAGGGTATTCAATACGAGCGAAGTCGCGGTAAAAACTAGTATATATATATATATATAAACATATAAATTGAAATACTTTACTCACCTGGGCATTTCCCGCACTCCTAGAAATTTGTAAAGGTGTAACGAGCCTTTGCAGTTTCGGATGCACTTGCGTGGCATATTCCTTCTGTAAAAAAATTCCATTAATATTTTCTCAGTATAATGAATAGTACTAACCTGTTGATCAAATATAAGTGGTTAAGTAATGTTTTTATGAAAAATCATTAAATAATTATATTAAAATCAATTATCAAAAACAACCTACCTTTCAAAAAATAAATCCGTCTGTTTCACAAAGCGTTGTTAATAAATTCAAATGTGTTGCAGGTACTGCTATTGAGCATTTCGTAACAGTATTGCGTAAGCTAATATTAAATTACTTTTTAAGAAAAAAATATAGCTACTGTATTTTATACTATAAAGATATTGGCAATTCAACAAATAATTTATTTAAGAAGACTATATACTTAAAAACTAAACATAAAACTACACTAATAGCATTAAACATCATTCTATAACCAAAATTTAAAATATTTATAAATGATTATCTCAGGATTATACAAAAGTCATGATATAACTAAAGAAATTTTTTTTAAAGATTTCTACAATTATTTAGTCCGTAGTAAAAAAATAAAAAACCACTGAACAGTTGGAGATTTTAATATTAATATACTGAAATCTGATAATAATTCTACTACCTTTTTAACAAATCTATTAGAAGCACGCTACCTATATTCCTTACTTTAGTGGAATTACCAGACCTAGTTCTAAAAACATGGAAGACTCCTGTATTGACAATATATTTGTTAAATCGTCAATAATGAATAAAAAATCTTAAACATACACGAATATCTTTACAGACCATTATCCAGTCCTGATATCATTAGATTGGAAAAGTGAAAAAAGAAAAACTTATTACAAGAAGACTATTGATTATATAAAACTAAATACACTATGTCATAGTACTTATTTGACAAATATATTAGAAATATAAAAAATTAACAAATAAAGCTATAGTAAACAAGAAAAAACATTAATTTCGGTTGCGCCTAAGCTATAATACCCTTCACAAATACAAAGGCCCCTTACAAGAACTTGATTCCGAACATTCAATTTGTATGGCAGCTATATGATATAGTGATCTGATCTGACCAATTTCTGTGGAGAATAATTTGTTGCCTTAAGCAATAACTCGTGCCTAATTTCGTGAAGATACCTCATCAAATAAAAAAATTTTCCATGCAAGACCTTTATAAGAGTTTTCCATACAAACACCTGATTCCGATTGTTCAGTTTGTATGGCAGCTATATGCTATAGTGGTCCGATATCGGCCGTTCCGACAAATGAGCAGCTTCTTTGTTGGAAAAGGATAGGTGCAAAATTTCAGATCGATAGCATAAAAACTGAGGTTTGTATATATACAGAAAGACGGACAGACAGACAGACGGACATGGCTAAATCAACTCAGCTTATCATGCTGATCATTTATGTATATATTTTATAGGGTCTCCGACGTTTCCTTCTGGGTGTTACAAACTTCCTGGCAAACTTAATATACCCGGTTCAGGGTATAAAAATAGCGGCAAGAGTAAAAAGAAAGACGATATTCCATGAAATAACTGGATAACTAAGGGAATCATTATATCTTGTAATAAAAAATAAACTTTATATAATATATTGAAGTTTGATAAGAATAACGTAAATACTAAAAATGAATATAATCAATATTGTAAAATGCTAAGCAAAGTCATTAAATGTGCTGAAATAAAATATGAAAAAAATATGATAAGTTCAAATCTACATAATAGCAAAAAACTATGGCAATACTTAAATATAAAGTTAGGTAGAAATGAAAAAACTGAAACTAAAATTGAATGTCTAAATGTAAACGAACAAATTGTAACGACTACAGAAGATATTGCAAATACATTAGATGATTTTTCAGTGTAGTGTGTGTAGTAGGCATCAAATTAGCTAACTATATAGGGTTAGATAAACAAAAAATAAACAATGCGTCAAAAGGCATTCCACATAATAGTAAATCGATCTTTATACAACCGATAACTGAGAATGAAATCTTAAAAGCTTTAAATGAAATGAAAGACAAAGCGGGTGGAAGAGATGCGATTAGTAATAAGATAATAAAAAACTTAGATCACAGGGTTAGCCAGCCTTTCGAATATATTTTCAATCTATGTATTTCTAAAGGAATTTGGCCAAAAGCTTTGAAATCAGCGCTGATAGTACCGATTTTCAAAACTGGTAAAAAGGACAAAACTTTGATATCTAATATTCCTATATTGTTTAAAACGCTGATACATAAAAGAATATACGATTTCGTGGAGAAGTGCAATATTTTCTCAGATAATAAGCAATACGGTTTCTTAAAGAACAAAAGTACAACTTTCGTTGTTGATTTACGTGAGTACCTGCCGGCGACGGCCTTACCTCACGGTGCTCCAAAGCACAACGTATCAATACAATGCGTTGATAAGCGCCCCAAATAATACGAGCTATTTGCAAGTATTAATTTGGTTACCAGTGGCAGTGTGTCTGGGCACACACACATGTTAAATGTTATATCATGCATTATTTGATGTAAAAATTCGTGTTATGTAGCTATGAAATATAACAATCTAATGCCGACTGAATATAAGAACTTGATTGTTATAAACAAGCCGAATAAATTTAAATTGAAACAGTGGTTATTGGATACACATAGTCATTTAAAATAAAGTTTTAATTATTAGAAACTAAAAATGAAAAACTATTTAAAATACTTAAACCGGAGTGACATTATTCATTTATATATTTATAGACTTATAGTAATATTATACATACATGTACGATAGGCCTAGGCTTATCTTTTTCCCTACCCTATAAACAGGTAATTGTTTTTTGTCTTTATAGGGTTTAATATGTAGTTAAACTGTATATTTAATTGGGAAATAAACAAAAAATTATAACGGTGTTTTTTATAATTCGCAACCCGTTTTAACCCCTCGCCACCCACTAGAGGCGGCCATGTTGGTTTTATTGTGAACGTACGCCTCGGAGGCTGGAAAAGTACTGTGAATAAGATTCGATTAAAACAAATCTGTCGCTTATATTTAACATATGTACATATATATGTATGTAAACTAATTATGTTCCAGGAATAGAGCATTAGCTAGCAGAGTGCATATGTGCAATAGGTAGTCGGCGTCGTTGCCATATGTACATATACGCCTATATGCATATAGCTGAATGCTAGTGATAAAAGAGAGACTAAATAACGTTACAATCAGGCGATATTTTATCTCATAGGCAAATGTACTGTGAATGGGCACTTTCGCTACTCCCTTATACCATTGTCTCGACAACGACTAAATGTTAGGGCGTAAGCTTTAAGCACAAAGACAAATTTTTAGTAGCGACAGCGAAATTTTAGTAGTACATACTTATGATAGATGATATTATAACCATAACTTGCCCATTTTCAATTTACATTCAAAAATCGCGATATGTTTGACATTACCGGCAATTAAGTAAACTTATTGCAGCTGTCTTTCAAATTGTAATTATGCACATACGAAAGACGACGAATAAGGCAGAGAAGTAGAGTCAGTGGCAGATCCAGAATTTCTTTCTAGGGGAGGGAAGGAAACTTCCAACATATTAATATTGACGTTACTTCGTAAATTCCCAAAACCCTCCGTCGATCCGCCACAGAGTAGAGTTATAATTCGTAATTGGCTTTCTGAGGATATAAATACATAGTGCCTGTTTTAAATGATCGCTTCCAGCACAAAACTTTACACTTAAAAAAATGTTGTAAGTTTCATTGTTTCTTCAAAATTAAAGTTCGAACTACTGTAATTTTAGGGTTCTTTAGAGATCAAATACTAAATTACACCTTACTGATTATTGTAAAAAAAGCTAAATAGCCCTTTAGCCTGGTGTTATGCGTTAATTTTCAAATATTCCAATTGTTACCCAAAGTTTGTATAGCTGCTCTATAGTGGATCGTCCTCTTCTACTGAATATATTAAAATAAATATTCTTTAAGATCAAATTCATAACTATAAAGTACTTTTACTTCAGTTTAGTTTATTAGTTTGCTTTTTGCTGACTCCGGCATTTTTATACCACCTTTAAGTAAAATAAGTAATAATATAAAGAAAAAATTTTTTTTTCAAGGACGTGATAACACACAGTATCGCATATGCACTGCGCATTACCCATTATCGTTTTCATTAAGAATAGACCTATTGACACTACTTCGGCAACAAGATTCGTATACTCACTACACATAGTAGTCGACATGTTTGACAATGAACAAAGGAAATAGTGTTACATGAACATAGCCGAGCACACAGGGCTGCACATGAAAAGCCGAGACAAATTCTGCAGAACTATTTCTGAAAGACTTGCAAACGAAGTGGTTGTTAATTGCAAAAGTTATTCTAAAAGTAAATATTAACAAAAAAAGATTGTAGGAACCCCAATTCCCTTTTTCGCACGCCAATAGCTGTATGTGATATATTCTCCACCGATAAAAAATATGTTTAACCTGCTTGAAGCTTGAATACTATTCTATACATAGCAAACGTAGATATAGCCGGCATGTGTATTTATGCAAAGATTGATATTGACTGTGGTAAGTTGAGTACATGACGGGTCCCAGACAAGGACATTTCGGAATCATCTGTAGATTTTATTGCATCCCTAATAACCTGGACCATAGCGTTGCTGAAATTTCCTCTAGTGATTTCCCCCTACGCACATACCTATAAGAGATATGCAGGGAGAATTTAGTCAAGCTCAATTTTAGTCAAGGAATCTGACCTCACCAGTAAAAGCATAAAGGTACTTCATTGTCAGACTTGTTTGGGTGCCTGGTCAAAACTAAATCGTTGGAACCTATAGCTGATGCTCGATCTCATCAAGGCAACGAGTCGGTGCTCCTTTGTCAAGTCACACCCTTTGCGAACCAGGCGAATTGATATTAGCCACCATAACAATTTTGTAGCAGGCTCAATGCTTTTCGTCGTTATGCGACGATCTACACTTAGGAGTTCTGGGCATCAGTAAGTTCCGTTTTTATTGAAAGCAGGGGTAATTATCGTTGTAAACGTAAAGTACGCATTTACCCACCAGTTACCATTCATTTACTTTTACTTTTAATTACATCTGTTACGGCGAAATAGAGGGTGGCTCACGATTCGTGCTACAAACTTTTTTATTCATCACGAAACAACCTTAGTTTTTTTTAAATGAATGCTTAGGATATCGAAAATAGGGTCTGTATAGTGGAGCGGTACATTCTTTGCAGTCTGTACTTTCCGTCCAAATAGAATTCAGACAGAATTTCGGCAGCACTCCCCTGAGTAGATGAACCATTATGAGATTGGTAAACATGTTTGCCGAATCTGGAAGTATCGCACGAAGGTCATACCATCGAGAACACGGAACAAATGTTCAAGAAAAAATCACGGCTATTGCATTGTCAATTCAGGCAAATCCAAGAATTTCGACTCGCAGATTATCGGTGCAGCTTGTAGTTAGCAGACGGTGATTATATCGGATAACTCATGATGACTTAAACCTGTTTCCGTACAAGGTTCAAAAACAAAGCCGGTTAAACCCTCTAGATTTGCCTATTCACCTGGAATTTTGCCAAAAATTATTGAAATGGCCGAAGAAGATAATAACTGGATAACTTGCCTGCGCTTTGATCTAAACGGAAATGTAAATAAGCAAAATTGCCGTATGTGGAGTGAATCAAATCCAGAAATAATCCCCTGACAGAACTTCACCCAGAACGAGTCACTGTGTGGTGGTCATACTTCTTTGAATGAGTTTTTTTACCCAGTACTGGGTTGAAGACGTATTCCATTTAATAACTTTTGGTTCCAGCAAGATGGAGCAACTGCACGCATAGCCAGACCGGTTATTGTGGAGCTCCAACGAAAATTTGAAAATAAATGTCAAGCAAGAGATAAACAAAAGAAAATCCAAAAATCTGACTGAACTAAAGCAGTCCATTAAAACGATAAATTAGGAAATCCCGACTTCAACCCTTCAGGCCGCAATAAATAATTTTCTAATTAGCTGTCGCATATGCGTGGCTGAGCATGGAAGTCATTTTAGGTCCATAATTTTTAAAATTAATCATTTATATATAATAAAAAATAAAAAAATTTAATGCATTGATAAAACAAAATTTATTACGGTTTGTTTTTGTAGCACGATTCGTGAGTCACCCTGTTAGAGAAGCCATGGCCATACAACAAATTTGATATCATACTTAAAAAGAACGACAGGGACAAAAACTTTTAACTATATGAGTAAAATCTTGGAATCAGACATGAATTCTTTTTATCATTTATAATAATTTTCTAGGCCTGAAAGTTGTTGCCAGAAATCTTGAACACGATTATTTGATTTTGAGGAAATAAAGTTTGGGCAAAGACTCGAAGAGGAAAGGAATAATCAATTTAAGATAATCACAAAAATTTAGGAATAAATTAATAAATTAACATATTTAGGGTATTCACAAGGTGTCATATCGTCGTATTGTCTTATTTTTTTATGACTGTCATATCAACACTGTTGTTGTTTCCCATACAAAATTTAAATACGACAAATACAACAATGTTTGGAAACTTAACATATCAGTTTTCAGCAAGCATACATGATCAGAGATGAGCACGACCACAATCTAACGCCCCTTTTTAAATGACATTGTGTTGGTGCGTTTACTGTGTGACAAAGCGAATCAACGATAAAAATAATTAATCTGTTTGCAGAAGTCGAGCGAGCGGGTCTTTTATTGTTATATAAGGTTGAGTGGCAATTAGATTATAGTTGAACAATTTGGTATTTAAAAAAAGGCACTACATGATATTTTATCATGTAAGAATTAGTAAAATTTCATAATAAAAAAATAAAATTTAAAGGCTCAGTTGGCATCTTTGGGATTAGCCACAACTGCAATGACCATAATGATGCAAGGTGTAAGTGGAGAGCCTTGGTAACACTCATTAGCTTATTTTTTCGTTAAAGAATCCTTCAAAGGGCTGCTGTCCTCAAGAAATATATTCTTGAAGCCATTACCCAACTTCAAAATATAGGACTAATTCCTTTTGTATGCGACAAGGACAAGAAAATTTAATTTTTTACGATAGCCCTCATTTATTATAAATTAGTCGTAACTGCTTACAAAATTTGAAATATATGGTTTTCTTTAAAAATTGTCGCGTAAGTTGGTCGGATATTTTTTATTATTATGAAATCGACCCTAAGTCGAGCTATCGGTGTGCGCATAAATTGACCAATGCTCATATTTATCCAAAAACCTTCCAAAAAATGAAGGTTAAACTTGCTCAGGTATTGAGTAATACGATCGCGGGAAGCACTTAAAATGCCAAAGTTCAAAATGCCGATACATCAAAATACCGACGAAATTCAAATATAAAAATAAATGAAAATACTGACAAATCGAAATAAAATCGTTAAAATATTTTTGAGAAACATTCGCAAAATCAAGTTGTCAAGCCGTAGATGGGCTTTTCATATATTTCGAATTTATAATTCATAAATTATAACAAATCATAAAAAGTAAGACCTTAAAAATGTTATATCATGCATTATTTGAAAGCGTAATAAACTATGACATCATAGCGTGGGGGTGCTTACAGAAATGTAATTCAACCACTCTTGACCATGCAACAAAGAATACTAAAAAAACTTGACTTAGGACAAAACTCACCTTTAAACATTAAAAGATTCGATTAAAACAAATCTGTCGCTTATATTTAACATATGTACATATATATGTATGTAAACTAATTATGTTCCAGGAATAGAGCATTAGCTAGCAGAGTGCATATGTGCAATAGGTAGTCGGCGTCGTTGACATATGTACATATACGCCTATATGTATATAGCTGAATGCTAGTGATAAAAGAGAGACTAAATAACGTTACAATCAGGCGATATTTTATCTCATAGGCAAATGTACTGTGAATGGGCACTTTCGCTACTCCCTTATACCATTGTCCCGACAACGACTAAATGTTAGGGCGTAAGCTTTAAACACAAAGACAAATTTTTAGTAGCGACAGCGAAATTTTAGTAGTACATACTTATGATAGATGATATTATAACCATAACTTGCCCATTTTCAATTTACATTCAAAAGTCGCGATATATTTGACATTACCGGCAATTAAGTCAACTTATTGCAGCTGTCTTTCAAATTGTAATTATGCACATACGAAAGACGACGAATAAGGCAGAGAAGTAGAGTCAGTGGCAGATCCAGAATTTCTTTCTAGGGGAGGGAAGGAAACTTCCAACATATTAATATTGACGTTACTTTTGTCAAGCCGTAGATGGGCTTTTGAGGGTTAATATTTTCACAAAAGGTAAAGTAAAGTCATAGTTAACTTAAACAAAGCAAAAAATAGTTGGACCCAAATACCTGTGAACACCCTGGTGTTGGCTCGACCAGGGTAATTTTTAGAAGCGCGGGCGAAGGCCGCCAATGCAGAAAGTAGTGCGATGCAGAAGAACTCTGAACTGCGATATTTTTAAATCTTTTGTGTCTATATTTCGAATTGTTTGCATTTTGATTTGACGTCGTTAACAAAAATTATCAATTTAGTGTTTTAATTTGTTAACAATAAGTCCGTTTCCAATGCGACTCTGTAACAGCAAGAGAGCACAAATTGCACATATGTTCAAACACACAAACATGCATACTAACATTAATGTACAAAGCAAATATGACTTTAGTTTTTATTACTCTAACTGGTCATTCTTGGAACATACTTCGAATAAAGAGGAATTCAAACATAATGAATTTTCAAATTTATTTAGAGGCTTTGATCAGAAGATATTTACAAGCAACTATTTATTAAATTAAAGTAAGATGTTTAGCTAAATTGCTTAAATACTCTTCGGGAACAAAATTTTCTATTTCTATTAAAACTGCCTTTACATCATTTTTACCAGAAAGCACCTTTTCAACTTTGGTTTCTACCAAAGCTTGTTCCTCATTCAAATTTGATATTAAATTTAATATATTTCCATGGTACTGCCCAACTAAGCACGAAAGACGCCGATGACAACATTATTTTGCGTTCTCAGAAGGCTGTATAACACGTTTTCAAATACTGACCAATAATTTGGA